TATATATATATATATATATATATATATATATATATATATATATCACTAAAAAGGGGTGCACACAAACATACACTTACTATCCAAGTCGCCGCAATTCGAATCGTAGTCGGTAGTGTCGGGCGAATAACGGTAATTGTGTCTGGCATTGTTTGTGTTGTTCGATTGATGATTGTGATTAATGCTGTCCTGATGATCGAATTGTTCGCCGCTACTTCGACTCGCGGAATCCAAAAAGAAATCAAAATCTCGCATTAATGGGCTGCTTGTAAAATGTCGGCGTGCTGTGTGTCGTGCATAGCGATTGTTCATGGTAAACTGATTATGCTGATGCGAATGGGAATGGGAATGATAATGATTGTCGGGCTGTTGTTGTATTTCTTGTTGGCAATGCTGATAGTCTTCGTGATGTTCAACGTCATCATCATTATTTTCGATGTCGTCGTCAACGTCAGCTTCATCGTCGTCATCACCCTCCGCGTCGTCGATATCGTTTTCTGTCCTGCCATTGATATCACCGTAATATTGATACGAGTGTTGTGTTGGTGATTGAACATGATTGCGTTGATGGTTTGGATAGTGAGTGACTTGTGCTGGTAAGCGATGCGGTTGTTCTTGTTGCAATTGATGTTGTTGTTGTTGTTGTTGCTGTTGTTGTTGCGGTATACGCAATTGAATATTGCTATCTTCGTTATTCACATCCAGCTGCTCCTCATCCTCATCATTCTCATCCATACCATCATCGTCACCGTCTTCATCCTCCAAATTAACATCGCCGCCTTCGATGTGGTCGTCATCCTCAATGTCACGTCCCAGATTAGTATGAAATTCATATTGTATGTCCTGCGTATAAAAGAATAATAAAAACGTGTCATGAAAGAAATAAGTTTTTATCCTTTTTCAAGTCTATCTCTATCTCTATCTCTATCTCTTTCTCTTTCTTTCTCTCTTTTTCATTTTTCTCTCTATATATACGCTGTTAAAATCAACAACTAACAATGTACATATGTGTCTAAAGCATACGTACATAGAACAATAACTAGAAAGTAGACATTTTTTTCTTTGTTTGTTTGTTTTTTTTTTATTATTATTATTTTTTTTTTTTTTTTTATTCAACTTACAATGCTATCAACATCACTGATATTCTCAATGATAGGCTTGTCCTCATTTGAGGGGCACTTGAAAAATTCTTCTAGCACTTTGCGCGTTTCCGAGAATTCATACAGGTAATCAAAGGTCGTTGACTTTGTGGGTATACTTAATGGATTACTGGATGTTGTTGATGTTGTCACATTCAAAAGTGTTGCTAGCGAAGTGCTAGTGGGTGTGTTACTACTATTGACAGCCGGTGCGGTTGAATTTGCTATTGTTGTGATTGCCGTTATTGTTGTTGTTATCTCCTTGATAGCTTTGGGCGATGAAATAGGTTCCAATACTTCGTTAATACCACCACCACCACCACCAGCACCACCAGCACCACCACCACAACCACCACCAGCAATGCTAACAGCACCCAAGGTATTTGTGGCAGAAATATTGTTATCGGGTGTTGTTAAATCCGATATAGTACCGATTTCTGAGACATCGTTGCTTGTATCTTCGGCATTGTTATCTGTAAGTGTTTGCTGTGAATTCGTTTGTTGTTGGTGCTGCTGTTTTTGTTGTTGTTGTAATTTATTGTTTGCATTATAATTGAGCAACATAATCGGTGGCGTGGTGTCACGTGGTGGTGATATGATGCGCTATTTATCAAAGCGAAAATCTTCAAATTATTTTTTGAATATATTTTTTTTTAACTTACTTGCGGAAATCCTGGCCTAGCTGCATACTGTTTTGGTGATGATACTGTAATGGAGTGATTTGTTTTGCTACTACTGCTAAGCGGAGTTACACCGTTCGATACTCTGCCGTGTTCATCGTCTGTAGCGTTGCCTATCATCTGTCCAATACGACGCGGTGAACCTTCATATTCTATTTTTAAATAAAGGAAATGAAGCATTCAACTTACATCTCGATTATGGTTTTGTTGTTTCTTTTTTATTTCTTTTTTTTGATTCTTTTGTTCGCTGAAATTCTCCTTTACACACTTACCGATAATGCCGTGACGCGATTCAACATTGATTTCGTAATCGCCATCTCTATATTTCTTATGTGACAGTTGTTGCAATTCTCCGGAATTAATAATAGTTGTACTCTTTTGTATGTCAACGTCTTTACCATCAATTGTGTTGCGTTTCTGATTGGATTTAACAAAAGCTACAGATGTATCCGTAATATCGATTGTATCAGGAGCTAGAGTTGTTGTGCGATTGTTAACTTGCGTATGAGGATCTGTGCTAACGCGTAAATCTATAATTAAAAGGCCATCATATTGTATTGGTTAAGTTAAGTTAAAATTAATGAATAAATTATTGCAAATATATTTTCTTTTCTTTTATGCACTTAACAGTTTTCAACCGCTTTGCGTTATTCTTCATAATCTTATTTTTTCGTTTCGAGGTGTACAGAGTGAGCAGAGCTTCTCCGCTATTAAACATTAGCACAATATTCATTCCAAGAATATTCATTTGCCTGCCTAATAAGTTCACTCTCAAGTTGATTTAATTCTTGTAATCAAAAGCATAAACACTTTAGCATTTGTATGCGCGAGTATATGCATACAGACGTGAATAACTATAATTTTTGGTTTATCCGTTAAGTTTATCTTTCAAATCAATATCAGTTTGAATTAATTTAACTGAGAATAGTTATATTCTCTTATCGGTTAGATTATAAAAACGATTCCATAACTATTCAGGCTCATCATTTTTAGCTTGAATTGTTCCAAAAATCAATTGAATTTTATTGTATTTCCGTTCGAAGTGCATTCGTAAGAGTAATAATTGACTTTTTGTCATTTTGTTCGGTGTTAGCTAAGGTATATGTTTATTAGGAAATGAGCTTAACAACAATTAAAAAATTGCTCCGAATAAAACGATTTTAAGTTTAAAGCACAAAAAACCAAAAGTAACTGATAGACTTGAGTATACGGCAAGTGATTGCATTTGTTTGCTGAAAAAGATATATACATATATATACATATATGTATGGAGGGTTTCTTCACAACAGAGCAATAGAATATCTTGAAGAAGGGAACCCACAAGAATTGAGGCAAAGCAAACGTTGTTTTTCTTACTTTCAAGTATAGTTGATGTAATTATGTTTTACATATAGCATAGTCGAAGCTACTATTACAGGACCGATTTGGTTTAACCTAATCTTAATTCACTTTCTGTCATCAATAGAGCGTTCAGTATTCATTGCTACGATAGATTCCTGTAGAAAAACAATTTTGAGTAAGTTCACAAGTAGTGAGAAGACGAAGAAGCAGCTTTCGATGACGAAAAATTTCTTTATATCATTGTATCATTAAACTTATCATCATGCAATAAATCGATACTTTGATCTACTGTATGGAATGAAGCCTCGACTTGTTGACACCAGATGTTGTTTACTAATGACAGCATCGGCCGAAAAACCATCACACCAAACGAACACTTATGCAAAACGTAATAATATTTTCTATACGTTAGATGGTGTTGGCACTTATGCTTTTTTATTCTGCTTTATTTTGCTTTTTTTGTATTTATTGAATATCTAATGCATCTATAATTTCATTTCAATAGCAATAACATTGATCGATCGTATTATATATTAAAGCATATTGTTACGTAAAATTTCTTTCGCTTTACGATTTATTGCTAATGTCCTTTACTATATCTTATTACGCTTGTGATACAAATGTATGTTCAGTTGGTATAGTCACAACTTTTTTAATATAAGGCTCGGCACAGGATAACTTTCTGCATCAATTTAGGTAAGCTTTTCTGCCCGTCTGTTCTGTTTGTTTTCTTACAGTTAACCTCAAATTATTTTGGTCAAATTTGGTATATTGACTATTGCAAACGATACGGAACGGACTAATTTTTTCGATTACTTCCCATATAACCCGTTATTTTAAGCAATCATTATATAAATAATTATATCAAGTCACGTAGTAGTATAGGGTGTTTATTGTAAAAATCTTCAAATCAAGTTTCGTTGATAAGCTAAGTCGCTAAAATAGGACATGTGACGGGGAAAGTCGTAAATTCACTGCACTCTACATCACTTGCGGTATAATGCTATATATTAAGTTTGTAATGACGCATCTTTCATTATACTGATTAATTTAGACTAACCTATTAAATGAATTTCAGTTTTTCTCTCCGTCCAATTGTCCGTCCTGGTTTTTTATGATCAATCTATAGGATACAAGTTTTGAGATAATTTGATGAAATTTGTGGCAAAGATGTGTTTTGGCCCAAGAACATATACCATAGAAAATAGTTTGGATGTGACCATCTTTTCGATCATTTTGCATAAAACAACTTATTTTAAAAAATCATTATATGAATATTAATATTAAGCCAAGTAGTGTAGGGTGTTTATTGTAAAAATCTTCAAATCAATTTTGATTGATTAGCTAAATAAAGCGTAAAGAGATTATTCACAATTATGAAACAAAAAACTTTATTTAAATGAAAGGAAGCGTGCTGCAGGATCTTATGATCCTATAGTAACGCGCGTAATGAATTTTCAAAAAAAAAATCTAAATCTAAACTTATTTCAAACGGATTTTTTAAGCGTTCAGACTAATCATATTAGTAACATAGGTGTAATTTTTTTCTCTATACAATCATTTATTAAATTTACAAGTATTTTAAAGTGACTTTTACATCAAATTAAATATTTAATAATTATTGAGAAAATTGACATTTCAAACGAGATCTAGCTATTTTCAAGCATTTACGATTAAATTGTCAAATCTTATACAAATCTTTTACTTTAAAAATTTCATTTGAACCATTTTCGTTGTTATAGATATGTAACTCTAGATAGATATCCAATAGCTACCATTCCAACTATTCGAATGTGGATTGTATTGTCATCTGATTTCAATTAATTTCATTCAATTAAATACTTTTTTATATCCGTCACCGGAGAAAGGATTGTTGTATATTCTGTTTATCGAAACGTTTGCGGCACCTATTCAACGAAAGCTTAAAATATATGTACTCTTGTCCGGTATCAAAATGTCCCATTGTTCGTTGAAAGATTTGGTAAAAATTTTAAAATTTCTTGAGCATAGGTTACTTACTATCGAAAATAGGCAAAATTGTTGAAAGTATTATGTCGTTCTGTTCTGCTCAACTCTGCTTAATGTGGTTTTTGCTTTTTACAGATACACGATCAAAATTTCCACTTACAAAATGGACATGTAAGGTATGCTTACCTTATCCTACAGTGTATGAAAAAGAATTTTTTTTTATATATTTTGTATTTTAGTATGTCTAGGTATCAAAGATTCGATGATAACCGAATAAAAATTTCTTACTTATTTGGTTTGTACTTAATCTCATGGTTGAATGTATTATTGTACATGCGCTCGCCTGTATGTACACGTATATATTTATTGATTTTGTCATGTTGTGTTCAATAACGATAATGATTGTTTAATTTGTAGTTGCTTATTGCAAATATCTTCGTGCAAACTTGTACACTTGTACACTTGTACACTTGTACACTTCCAATCATACTGAAATCGTTCGTAATTGTCTACATGTATTTATATATAAAATACATATAAAAAAATCTATGTGTATGTATATATATATATATATATCTATGTATGTATAGATGTAGATAGATATAAGCGCCGGTGTAAGTGTATTTCCTTCTTTACGGTCTATACACTCCATTACATTAGAATGACAATTGTGAAGTGCTGGTGCAGTTTAATGGAGTGTATAAGTGCATGGGTGGATATTGCTGTTTTGTGTTACGTGTGAATATATATATATATATATATATATGAGTACATGAATTAACCAACCAACCGATATTTGATTGAATTAATGCTAAAGACTGAGAGAGAAATTTATGTTACTTTCATTGAATGAATATTGTTCGGTTTATCTGTTAACTATTTTAATCGATTTACGGGATATGTTTACCAATATACAGTAAACCAGGATATATATATATATATATAGGAAAAAGTGCCAATAATAACTTCAATACAATGAAAATATCTGAAGATATATTTAATAATAACAGCATTTACATTGATGTACAATGCAAAATATATTACATTTTGCTTTAATTTTCTTGCATTGATTTCTCTCGAAATTCAGCTTCAATCCACCTAATAAAAATATTTCATTTCAATTAATTTACAAACATATGCTCAGCATATAAAATAATAATTTTTTGCTTATTTAATTAATATGACCAATCGATCATTCTGGGGATCTTGTCTTTTATACACAACCCATTGTGATGCTCAGAAAGAAGCGGCGAAAGAGAGAAAGATATAGGGAGTAGCCTAGCGAATGTGTGCCCAACGATTGAAGGCACTCGTTGTAGTGGTAGCCACACTCGTGGTAGTGGTCAAATCACCCTGAGACTTAAATCCACGAATACCGAGTCTTAACTACTTGGTTATATGGAATCATTGAAAATCTGCCATATATGTAATTGTGTTGTGTTGAATTTTAATCAGAGCCTATTCGAAACCAAATTTAATGCTTTAAAGAAAGTTTTCAGACAAAGTAAGTAAACCCCGAAAAAAAATATAAACGAGAATTTATTTGTTATTTGTCGGTGAACCGAGGAAGAATTTTGAATTTTAACTCATGACATCGAAATAAAAATTTTAAGATTAAGCCAATTTTTCCTAAATTTACAGTTTCAGAGCGATATGATCATGTCAAGAGAATATGGGAAAAGCATTGCAAATCAATTGATATGAGAACAATCAGAACAAAAGGATGCCTAGTTAACTTTGTCGGCATAATTCAGATAACTATGTTCCTTTTCGGCAACATATTTTTTTTTTGTTCTTTAAGTTTATACCAAAATGCTGTCGAGCGAACAAATTTTTTATTTTTTTTTTTATTCCTTTTTTTATGACCAATCATTCAGAGGATGTGCCCTACACGCGTAACATGACGGTGACGGCTAAAAAGAAATAGAAAGAAGAATGAAAAGGAAATAGGGAATTGTCCGCAGTCTAGTGGGCGCGCGTCCAATCGGTACGTATTTTGTCGATATCGTTTGAGCACTCACTATATCTACGACCAAAGTAAACTCTACCTGAGATTAAGATTTAAAGCCGCGAAGACTGAGTGAGTAGATGCGATTCTTATCTAGTCGGCTACTCTTGCGGATATGAATAATACAAAATTGATTTAGAATTTTATGCTGATCAGGAATAGTTTATACAATTTTTTAAAATTATAAGTATAAGAAGTTAGGCAGAGGCATTGACAGCATTAATATATTTCTCCGTGCATCGACAGTCGCCGGAATAATCAAATGTTGTTGCGGTGCTTTGTGTCGTCTAAGCTCATCGCATTTAGCTCTTGTACAATATTATGAGGATTATGTATAAAATTTTAATATTCTCTTTGACTGTAATCAGCTAACTACGCAGTGTGCTCGTTTCTTTAATGTTATATTACTGCTGCCAACATCCTGGCAATGAAGGCATTCATATAATTTATTTATTTATTTATTTATTTATTATTATTATTATTATTTTTTTTTTTTTTTTGCTTTTTTCGGTATCTCTAATACCTAAGTACCGTTTTTGCATAAGGATAATAGAGATTATATGCAAATGTACTTACTTTGCCAACTTTTCGCTTTGTCATCAGTAATCACTTCATTATGAGCCAATAATTGTTCTTCGGTTAATTGACGTTGCTGTTGTTTTTGATGTTTCTGTTGATGTAACTGATGTTTTTGATGAAATTGACGTTCACGCCGTTCACGTATTTCTAAAGCGGTTTGCTCGCTCATTGATTCACGAATTAGAGCAGCTGTTGTATATCGTTCACGTTCGGCATGAAGAATTTTACTACGTTGCTCGCGTTGCTCGCGATCACGGTCACGTTCACGGTCTTGTAGTTCTCGTTCTCTTCTATCAGATTTTTCCATTTGATATTGTTCATGTAAAGATGTATTACTGCCGTATAAATAATGAGAGGCGATGCTGCTAAAATTGTGTTCAGTGCATCCTGGATTAGATTTCTGAATTTGCGTTTGCGTTTGCGTTTGCGATTGCTGAGTATTGTAGTTGTTACGTTTCTGGATGGCATCGGGTTGTTCTTTGTCGCTACTATTTGGACTGCGGCCTAAACGTATATGATGGGCTGTAATTGGAGGCTGATGTCGGCCAGTATACGTTGCCGGTTGATGGTGAAAGGAACGTTTTTGCGAGTTTCTAATTTCCATTTCCGAAACTCCATTTCCACTGTAATCAGGCGAATTTAATATCGCGTTGGCCGGTGTATTATGTTGCCGCGTCTCCCAATAATTGTCCTTGGTAAAAGGATTTTGACCAATTTGATGATCGCTCTGTTGAACGGCTGCTGTCGAAGTCTGTTGGGATTTCGGGCGTGAACCGTAAGATTTTTCTTGTAAGTAAATTTGATTATTGCTGCTGGTGGTGGTTGTTGTAGATGTTTGTGCGTTGTGACAACGTTCGTAAGATGAACGTTTGCGAGGCATATCGTCGCCTTGAATTTGACGTCCTTCTCCTGACAGATGACGTTGCGTCTGAGAAGATGGAGAATCTAAACCGTGTTGAAATAACGTACAATAATTAGTCAAATCTTCTACTTCGTCTTGTGCCTTTCTACGTTCTTTTGCAATCGTTTCGTTTTTAACTTCTTTCGTATCCGTTTCGTCTTTTTTTTCCTTCTTAATCGTCGAGCTACTACAGAGAAATGGATTTGTTGAAATACGTGGCGTTACGGACGATAATGAACCTGAGGATATTGACGACGCCGAATGTGGCGGCGGCGATTGTGTAATTAAGTTAACACTTCTGTAATAATTATTCGTCGTCGCGTTAATCACATCGGTTTCACTCTCATGTGAGAGCTCATTTCCATTAAATAGTTTCAAACGAGCTTTAAAGCTCTTATCAGAATAATTTTCTTTTCGCAAAGGCTTATTAACATCAGTTGAATCTGTACAATTGCTATACGGTATTGCAGTGCGATTGCTATTATTACTGCTATTGGTATTACTTGTATATTTCGGTTTACATTTGGGGAATAGTAACGAGATTTGATCGTTAATTGGCGACGAGGCCGAAAGTAGCGTCTGAGGTACAGATGTAGACTCGTGTTTTGGGTTTTCTTCGTTTCCCGCTAGACTATCGTGACAATGTCTCCGATGGGTTATATTATTAATACTGCTATTATTGTGATTGTATTCGCATGTATCGGTTAAGTTGCTTTTAGTCTTCGAAGCTGGTTTGACTTCGACTTCATTGGCTTCTACTGAGCAATAGATATTATTTTGTGTATTTCCACTTGTTGATGTTGCTACCGCAGTTATCGGCGATGCTAATTGCGCATGTTGTCGTGGCTGTTGTTGGTATTGCTGCTGGTGTTGCGAAGCCGTTGCTCTTTGCTGATAACGCAAAAGATTTGCGGTTTCTTGAGTACTGGTTGGTGCTCTTTCGGGCGTTGAATTTTGATGTAAATTATTGATGCCAGTAGTATTTTGTCCAGCAGCAGCAATTGTTGTCAATGTTGTACTGACCATTATTAAATGCAATTAACTGAAAGCAAAGGAAGGATGGAGAACAATTTTAAAGAAGAACGGATAAAATTGTTAATAGATTGCAAAAGTAAAAGAAGCAAGAAAAAAAAAAAAAAAAAAAAAAAACAAAAAAAAAAAAAAAACGGAAAAAAGAAAAAGATTACATTTTACATTTAAAGAAAAACGGATGTAAGTTTCGCTTTCTCTGCATTTTGTGAAAATTTCAATGCTATCGTATGTCTTAATTTTCTCTTTGGCCATTTATTACAAAAATGATGTCTGGTTTTGCTAGCATTTCGTGTGTTGCTGTCAGTTAATGGGCGACAAAAACTGAACATAAATTCTGACATCTGCTGTAAATTTTATCCCATAACAGTGAAATCATTAACTTACAATAAACTGCCAGGAAGTATTCGGGAATGAACGCAATTTATTACACAGCGCAATATCAAATTGTATGCCAAACATGTTAAGCGGCAAGGACCACCTATAAACCTCTATATGCGTGTGTATGCGTATGCATGAGATTTTTCACATGTTTTTATGCGTGCTTTCATAAATGTCAGCTTATGCATACTTAGAGATTCATTACGAAAATTTTACAAACTAAATATGCATGAACATGTCATGTACTAAGCACACTAAGAGCACATGAAAACGTGGATAACATTCCTAAAGACCATCGCCTGTTAGGGTTCAAATATATTAGTAATCCAGAAAACTTTGAAATAGAAAAGCTAACACAAAAATTTTTATATATCTTTTATAAAAATTTATATATTGAAAAATCGGTCAATATAAAAAAGTAAAGTAAAACGTTAATAAATTAATTCGAAAAATATAATAATAAAACAAAATAAAATAAGCTGAAATGAAGCAATTCATATCGAGTGAATCCGGGACACACATCACTTCAGGCAGTCTTTCGGTATTTGTGTCACAGATAATGTTACAGCATTTTTCGGTGACCTTGTAAGACTATCAGTACTTTTGGGCTGTTTAACAATTGTGAGCATATTTTTGTGACCAGATCCATACAGATCTATTTTCCAAAGTGAGCTTCCCTCTTAATCCATTGAACCTAATGGATAGGTAAATAAGTGGAAAAATGGACAAGTGTACGCGCGGACTGGCCGACTGCCGTGATAACACGGTGAAGATTGAAAAAGTGAAGATTTAAAGTATGTATGTTAGGAACGACGGACTGCAGGAGAGAGAGTGAATGAGTGATTGAATGAGTGAGTGGAAGATAGATAGAAATAGATAGATAGATAGATAGATAGATAGAGAGAGAGAGGTAGATAGATAGAAATAGATAGATGGATAGATAGATAGAGAGAGAGAGAGAGGTAGATAGATAGATAGATAGATAGATAGATAGATAGA